AGATCGATTCATGTCGATAGTCCGTGCATACGGTAACACAACACTGCTATAATCACTATCGTCATCGTTGTGCGTCATAGCCCGCTTATAATGAGCGTTCTCGATCATACATGGATCTATACATTTCTTCCATACAACTCTCTCTCTTTCTTTTGTTCATCATTCCCCATTTCTTAGTAACTTATCTGTTCAAAGGTACTAATGGCCTACTGGGCCATCCTCCTACTCCTTGAGTAACTCACATTCATACCTTTCTTCTTTGTTGCAGAGAATCTGGAATCCGGGCTTCAAGAGAGTAATGCGCTCACATCCGCATGCAGAATGAAATAGCGGCTGTTCTCCGCTAACTCTGTCAATAATAAACCATACATAGGCTATATCAGACACACCACACGCGCGCACATGCATGCACAACAGCCACGCACACATGCACGCACGTACGCAACACATGCACATTACAAAATAAACCAAACAACCACGCACGCGCAACACACAGACAACACAAACACACCACAAACAACAAACAAACAAACCAAACAAACAAACAGACACATCGCACTTATTAAAGAAAATATACAGCGTTCGTCGCTTGTTCATTACTTATTCATATTCAAAATATTTTAATTGACAACTTACGGGGCATCGAATAATAGCTGTTCTCGATCCTGGATAGATTTCTTTTCCCGTCAGCGTTCGTTAGGTCTAATAAAAGTGGTATAAATTAATGATAAAAATAATAATTTAGATAAGTGCCGTTATGTGTAGGCGGAGTTTATATTCACCGGTAATCGAACTTATTGCAAATTGCTATTTTAGTGGTTATGTACTTTGATTAATAAAATTTATCTCTGCTTCTTATAATTATAGTATATATATATTATATCGTTTCCTGGATATCTATATCGATGATCTTTAGTTGCGTGCACAGAGAAGATAGAATTCTTTCACTTTATATCGTTTGTAAGTATGGGTAAACAGTGGAGTCGTGTAGCTTTCATGTTAACATGACGGACCCTGATGTGCATATGTTAAGCATAGTAAGTCGAATCAATTCGAGAAAGGAATACACGGGTGTATACTTCACGCTGAAGAAATAACCCGTGTTATGGCCACTTATATGATGAGTGAATAAAGGGTCATGGAAGCTGGCGTCGTGTAGACAGAAATGTTTTGACATTCATACGTCTAGCAATATCATTACATTTGTCACGATTTTTGTTTGTGAGTGTTTATGCAAAATGATATGAATTTTTGACTCTGTGTGATAGCCGATATAACCACTTCGTGATTTTTTTTGACCACGTCCTCCTTTACATTATGTTATTCTCTTGGGCTTACACTCCTTGATCTTAACACGCTGGCAAACACCGTTTACATCACGTATTCGTGTACACGATAGCATAGTATCATACGATGGTATACACGTATGTGAGTCATGTACACGCATACATAGGTATGCGTACATTGGTATACGTATGGAAACGTCATGTACACAGATATCATTAGTATCGGTAATGTATCATATGTGACGCTCATATACGTCTACACGACGGTACATAGTATCGTGATGTATCAAGTATGCATGACCGTCAATGTACGTACACGCGCATACATAGTATCGTACATGTATCACGTATGTGACGTCATGTACGGTACAACGAATACATAAGTTTATCGTCATGTATCACAGGTATGGTGAAGCGTCATGCTACCCGCATACTAGTATCGTACATGTTATCACGTATGTGACTGTCATGTACGGTCACCTACATAGTTATCGTATGGTATCACGTATGTGTCGTCTGTACGAACACCTTACATAAGATATTGGTACATGTTGCACGTATGTGTTCGTCATGTACACCGCCATACATGTATGGTACTGTATCACGTATGTGACGTCATGTACACGCCATCAAATAAGTATCGTACACTGTATCAGTAATTGAGCGTCATGTTCACGCTATATATATTATTCGTACAGTGTATCACGTATGTGACGTCATGTACACGCATACATAGTATCGTACATGTATCACGTATGTGACGTCATGTACGTACACGCATACATAGTATCGTTCATGTATCACGTATGTGACGTCATGTACGTACGCGATACATAGTATCGTACATGTATCCGGTATGTGTCTGTCATGTACACGCTCCGGTATTAGTATTTGTTCCTTACCTCAGCAGAGAAGCTGGCTGTGCGTTGAAGCTGCGTACCGGCCAGGCGTAACTGCTCGATATCTAGGTGGTCGTTGGGCGTGTATCGTACTTATGGCTCTGCCACGAGAGATGAAGCTCATCTATTGTGCTTTCACCGGCCAGCAGAAATAGATCGTGTATGCCTGCGGGAACATTCGTGTGCAATACATAATTAATCCCAGCTATTATAATCAAGAGGTAAAAAAGTTAACAAAACATATTCATAATTATTGTCTCATTATTATAATATTTTATTATGGAATGGCTCATTTTATGTGCTTCACCGCAGCTAGAAATATGGATTCGTGGTATTTGCGGCGGGGAGATAAGTCTATTAAATCTATAATCTTTATAATGTCTAATCCTAGTAATATCTATAATATTTATAAGTTGATAATTTCAAAGATGTAAAATAATGAATAATAATAATAATATAATAATAATAATCATAATAATTATCATTATTTATTATTATTATTATCTATGATTATATTCTGAAATGAAAGTCCACGAGGTTATTCCAAGATCAACGACTGTAACTCATAGAGCATCGGTGCCGTGTAATATCGCATCATATCGTAGATATCACAGTTTGGGTTTACCTATTAAATATATTCGTGTGTAGGTATAGCAATACTATCATCAATTCTATAGGAAAATATAACATCGAGCCTCTCATTGCACTCGATATGCTACATATATAATAACTATAATCACTGCTAATTACATAATTTAGTAATCGTGATCGATATTCAGTTTAAATAAATAATATTTTTGCAAGGCGGCGGTTTCAGCTTGTACTGGGAGCCGAGCAATACCATTAATGTCACGTATAGCTGTATTATGTAGTGCCAATCCATCATTTGTATCGTAAATGTATAATGAGAAATTGGCGTTATAGGTGGCGCGTGACTACTGCATTTTCACATTCGCCACATTTTCCTTTTTAGCTCGGTGCGCAGCGTCGCTCTCTTTCTTGCTCCTCTTTCCCTCTCTATCTCCTTCTATCGCTTCCTTCTCTCGCTCTCTTTCGCTTCTTTCTATCACTCTCGCTCCTCTCTCTCCCTTTTGCTTACCTTTCATTCTCCTCCTTCTCTCCCTCTTTTTCTCAGTCGCTTCTTTCACTCTCGCTCCTCTCTCTCCCTCTCGCCCCTCCTCTTCTGTTTTTTTTCACTTGTTCTCTCCCTTTCCTCTCTCTCTCTCTTTCCTATCAACCTCCCTCCCTTTCGCCATTGTTTTTCTCTCGTCACCTCTCTCGCACCAGTCCATCTGTCTTTCGCTCCCCCGTCTCTCACCATTATCTTTCTCGTACACATTCTCCTTCGCTACCACGTACTCCCGCCCCGTCTCTTCTCTTTCTCTCTCTATCTCATGTCTCGTGCTACTCTCTCTCTTCTCTCTCTCTCTATCTCCTTCTCATCTATCTCTCTCTCTTCTCTCTTCTTCTATCTCTCTCTCTCCCTCCTTCGCTCGCCCTCTTTCCCTCTCGCCTCGCTCATCGATCTCTCGCGTCTCTCTCTGTCTCTCTCTCTTTCTCTCTCTCTATCTCATCACGCTCTCACTTCGTCGCCTGGCTGTGTCCCTCTCTCGTATCTCTATCTCTCTCCCTCTCTCTTCTATCTCTCTATTTCTCTCTCTCCGTGTGTGTGTGTGTGTGTGTGTGTGTGTGTGTGTGTGTGTGTGTGTGTGTGTGTGTGTGTGTGTATGTGTGTGTATGTGTGTGTATATATATATATATGCGCGGTTGCGTGCGTGTGTGTGTGCTCATGCAGGCATGCGGGGATGCGGGCGAGCGTTTCTGTGGCATGACTACGACACATTCTCCTATATAGGTGTAAAACAGTTGGAGACCCAAAACATTTTAACCACCATAATTTCTCAAGTAGCCTAATTCATGAACTAGTTCATTAATACATGATTATATATGCACAGTAGTGTGCATTGGTCGTCGTGCAGGTGTAGTCGCAGGTGGCAGTGTCCATGCAATGGTAGCGCAGCGTACGTGCATACACTGTAGATTCTCGCTCTCACACGGGCACTGTGCACTGCGCTGCGCACTTTCCTATCCGCTGCCTGTAACGTCTGTAGTGCCTATAGGTAGTCGTCACGGTGTCCTCCCTCACGGTATTATCACTATACTGCATGGTTGTATGCGTCACCGCGCTATACACGCCCCCGGGCCCCGCGCGAGCGGGTGACCTTGCCTCCTGTGTGATTATTGACACGAGTTACTGAAACCAAGTTAATACCATACATCTGGTATAACTACCGGTCTACTCCCCTACTCGTATATATGTTATGTAGCCGGCGAACCGGGCTATCGTGTATATATATTTATATATATATATATATATATAGATGCGCTTCTAATGTATTCTGTCCAAAAGTTAACTAAAACAAACCAAATTAATACCATATATCTCGTATATATGCTGTGTAGCCGGCGAACCGGACTATCGTATATAGGGTAGATAGTATACATATATATATTTGTATATTTATATTGTTGTTATTTATATTGTAGGATATTTTGTAGTGGATGACAGACTGACCTTTCTTGAAATTATTGGGAGAGACTCGTTTTCTGTGAGATAGATGAACGATCACAGTGTGATATATACCCCTATACCTCTGCTGCACGCACGCACGCAGCACTAATTATCAAAGCATCTCAGCACTAATTAGGTTATCCTAATAATGTCGCTCGAACAATGCGCACGTTGGTATACGTGTTCTCTACATATCTCATATAATAATAATATTTAAAAAAAATAATAATAATAATAACTGTGATGCAGGTGTGTGAGGGCGACGAGATAGTTGTGAACGTCGATAACTTGCTACGTAACGGCGAGGGCGTCAGCATACACTGGCACGGCGTGCACCAGCGACGCACGCCTTACATGGACGGTGTCGCCCAGCTGACGCAGTGCAGCATACCTGCCTACACATCGTTCCAGTACCGATTCAAGGCCGACACGCCAGGTATGCCGCGGAGCAGCAGTCACCGGTATGGCGGTGGACGGCCGCAGTCACCGCCTCTCTCTCGCGCGCGCGCTCTCGCTAGCTATCTCTA